AAAAATACAATTTTATTGTTTTCATGAAAGTTTTAAAAAATTATTTAATTTCATTCGAAATGTATGGGGGGAAAAAAAGTCAGCCATTTTGATGTTGTGTCTTCTTCCTATTGGTGTTTTATTACTTTTTTTTTTTCTTAATGCTTCCATTTTTACGGTTTAATAATAATAATAATAATAATAATAATAATAATTTTTAACCTTTATCCTCGAGTTACTTTTTTTTTTTTTTTTTCTACATCATGCAATCATCGAACTCTTCCTATTTTTTTTTCTTAACATTTTATTAAATAACATAAATTTGAAACGTGAGAATTTTTCCCTTCCCTTCCCCTCCCCCTCCCCTCTCCCCCCGACATTTCTGTTTTCCTTTTATATACAAACAATTTGTTTTTCACAAGGAAAAAAAAAAAAAAAAACTGATATGATAATTCCTATACCGACTATTATTTATTTAACCGAAATTTTTTTTTTTTATAATAAATTTCTAATAAGTTTTCTTTCTTTCTTTTTGTTCTAGAAATTCGACCGCCATATTTATTTTATGTAAGAAAAACATTAAATCCTCATGAAGAATAGAAGAAAGGTACACACAAATATATCATTTTCTGTCACGAAAAAGGTACTCACATGAAAAAGGTGATTTAAAACGTGTCGTAATTTAAATTTAACGGTCATTTGCAACGCTGAAATCATCATCATCATCATCATCATCATCTTTTCATAAAATAATAATAATAATACTTATATAAAAATTAACGTGTATATAAATGATATAATTACGGTTTTACTTTTTATTATTATTATAATACAAAGAATTTTAACTGGCTATCAATCAAAAATACGTCACAAAAACCATATTATTATTATTATTATCATTAAAATTTTTTTTGAAAACCGACCATTTTGTCGCAAAAAAACTAAACGTTTGAGAATGATTATTATCATTATTATTATTAATTAATTTTTACGTATTTTAATTTATTCGATAAATAAATCGTGCCAATAAATAAACAAAAAAAAATTATGTAAAGCACATAAAATTCGATATAAATCAATTCCATATACATAATAATAATTATTGTTATTTTTGGGGGGGTGGGGGTATTATTATTATTATTGTTAATTTTTCATCCGAAAAAAAAATTTAATCGAGTCGTAATTACGTATTTTACATACATATATATGCAAATTCTTAAAAATTTTAAAATAATTTGAAATTAAGTCGTTTTCTCTTTTCCCCCCCCTTCTCTCTCTCTCTCTCACTCGTAATTAAAAATCGATTAATTAATTAATTTATTATTATTATTATTAACTTATTAATAATTTAATATACAAAAAAAAGCGAAAAGTTTTTAGAAAATTTTCGTGAAACGTAAAATAAATTATTTATTATTATTATTATTATTGTTGTTCGCTACACGTATCGTGTGACAAAAAAATTAAAATTTTATTTATTTACAATAAATAATAATAATAATAACGTAATATAATAATATCGATTTATTAATAAAAGAATTTTTTTGGTTTGCGTCACATCCAAACACATGTGAGACCTTAAAACAAATGTTTTATTATTATTATTATTATTGCGTAAAAAAAAAAAATTTTTTTAATAATAATAATAATTCATTGAAAATTTTACGGTAATTTATTTAAATTAATATTTAAAATAAATAAATATTTTCACGGCGAATTTATTACAAAATTTTTTTTTTCTATTTTTTTTATTTTCTTCAGATAACGATAACAGATCAATAAATAAAAAAGGAAAAAAAGGAAAAAAAAAGGAAAATTTTCCTTATTTTACAAAAAAAATTATTATTATTATTATTATTATTATTATTATTATTATTATTATTATTATATTACCATTAGTAGAGTAATTAAATTTCGGTTTTTTTTTTACGTAATAACCATAAAAAATAAAACTCTACGAATTTGCATTCAAAAGAGAGAGAGAGAGAGAGAGAGAGAGAGATAGATGGTTAAAAAGGAAAATTTATTTCACGCTTTTCACTTTTAGCATGAAAGTAAAAGAAAAGAAAAATTAGGTTTTAATTTTTTTAGCTTTAAAAAAGTTTTTTTTAATAACAAGTTATGAGATTTATTTTTAGTTGAACAATATTTCCGCCCCCCCTGTTCCCTTTCGTGCCCCTGTCTCCCTGCCTCCCCCTCCCCGCCTTCCCCCCTCATTATTCCCACGATAATTACCTTATCCGTGAGAATTTTTTTTTCTTCTTTTTGTTTTTTTTCTTTTTTTTACACGTCCGAAAAATATGAAATGTTCATTATTATCATTATTATTATTATTATTATGTACATATTTCCAATTAATAAATAAATAAATAAATAACTTTTTAATAGATTACGACGACGATGACGACGAAGACGTTCAAATTAAAAATTTAATTAACATTTAATTATGAGACAAAGAAAGTTAAAGAGTTAATAATTTTAATTGTAACGAAGTTTTCAATAACGGTTACATAAAAAAACTCAAGTAATAATGATAATAATATTCGTACAATTTACGTGAAATCGACCGCGCACACGCGCACACACACACAATCTTTTATTTTCTATTGAAAAATTTTTTGTTGTTGTTGTTGGTCTTCTCCATTTCCGTATTAACGAAAAAAAAATTATTAATAATTAAAAAAAAAAAAAATTTTCGTACGGACACAACACAAACTTTATTTTATATATACATTTATGTATTTCAATTATTATTATGTATATTATGTAAGAGAAAATAATAATGATGATAATAATTTTTTTTGTATCAAGTCTACAAACAATAAAAAGTTTTACCTTGTACGATTTTAAATATTTTTTTTTTTTGTTAATAATATAATTGTTACGCATATAAGAAAAAAAAGTAAAAGGAAACATTAAAGTATTTATTATTATTATCATCATCATCATCATCATCATTATTATTATTATTAAGATGATTTGACAAATTTAGAGGAAAAAAACTACTTACAAACCTATTAAAATCATATATATTTTTTTTTTCATTAAATCATTTAATTAATTAATTAATTAACATTTATTTATTTTATTATTTATTGACAAATAATAATAATAAACAAATAACATAAAATAAAATAAAACTTTATCGATTTCAAAATTTTATTATTAAGAGAGAGAGAGAGAGAGTGAGAGAGAGAAAGAATTTAGTGTGGGCCAAACCTGATGCAATTATAAATTACATATATACACACAAAGGAATGGACGGACAACAAAAAAAAATGACAAAATTTTTTTTTTTTTTGTAATTTTGGCATCATTGCATTTAAGTTGCACATGAATGAAGCGCCCCCCTTCCCCCCCTTTCTCCCCTCTCTCTCTTCTACTCTTCTTCTTTCCCGGTATTTTTTTTTTGATATTTGAATTCGATGACTCTCCCTCTCTCGCTCTCTCTCTCTGTTGTTGCGTTATTATTATTATTATTATTACGACGTTTTTCGTGGGGGGATGGCAAAGGATGGGGGAAGGATTAGGGGGGAGAAGAAGATAGGGAAGGAGGAAGAGGAGGAGGAGGAGAAAAATAAGATAGATAGATATAGGGTAGAGGTGTTGCCGATGAGAGAAAGGAGTAGGAGTAGGAGAAAGGGGAGGGAGGAGAGTGGATGGGGTGGGGGGAAAAGGACGCCGCTTTGAATTTTTTAGGTGTGATCCCTGGAGATAGAACATTATAGAATTAATCACGGTCAACTGAGTATTTGCGTAATTCTGGTGTATAAAAAGTGAAATTGTATGAAAGTAATCATCATTTATCAGTTGAACATCGACGTAGCGGGTTGTCGTCGTCTTTTCTATCTCTTTGTACATTAAGTGTCGCCATGATATATTTAGGGGTAAGTAATAAGTTTATTTACTCTATGACTTTTCTATTTTTGGTGTTTGTTACCGCGTTCCGAACAAAAAAAATATATTTTGGATATAATACAAAAAGGTTTGTTATTATATATCTTTTTTCTAAATTATTTATTTTTCATTTACGAAAAACGGTAAAAAAAAAAAAAAAAAAAAAAAAAACTTTTTATTTTCTCTATGGAATTTTATTTTGTGTTTAATGTTTTATAAATTAAAAAAACATTTTTTAAAAAAATTTCAATGACCAAAAATGTTAATTTTTTTTTTTGTATCAAATAATGATTATGATGATACTCGTTCGTTTCAACTTTTACTTTTTAAATTATTATTATTATTATCCTTTCATTTTTCTTTATTATTTATGGTGAAAATATTAAAATTGTCATCTCTTGTTTTGTCTAATAATTAATTATAAAAATTATTTTCTTGTCAAATTAAATTAAATAAATTTAAAAAAAAAGGATGGAAAATAATGAAGGAAAAATTAACGAACTTTCTTTAGAAAAAAAAAAAAAAAAATTGAACATAGAGTAAAATAAGGAAAGTTATGATAAAAAAATTTTTTTTTAACTATATCAAATCGAATACCCCTCGAGTTAATAAAAAAATTTCTTTCTTTATATGGAAATAATAATATGAGTCTGTTTTTTTGTGAAATCATAAATTATTTTTAATAATAATAATAATAATAATATGATATTAATATATTAGATAAATTTACTTTTATGGATTATGTCGTTTACCAAAAAGAGAAAATTAATAATTCAAGTTCAAAATGAAAATATTAATTATTAATTAATTAATTACAATTGCTACTAGCTAACGGGTTTTATATCAAAAAAAAGAAAATCTCGTTTGTTTCTCTATTCGAAATGAAAAATGTCGGCTTTCATTTTTTTTTTTTTTTTTATTAAATATTTTAAATAATTTTCCGCCGCGTAAAAAAAAACCTTCGGTAGCCAAGCGTTTAATTAAAAAAAGAAAAAAAAAGAAAAATTTCACTTTGTTTGTTTTTTTCCTCTATTACACATCACACTGTTGTGAAAAATGTTATTATTATCATCATCATCATTATCATCATCATCATTATCATCATCATCATTGTTAATTTTCTTATGAGTTAATTTCATAAAAAAAATAACGAAACCGATGAAATAATTTTTTTTTTTTTTGTTTGTTTCCAGAGTTTGTCAAAAAACTTTTTGTTTGTTTGTTTTAATTAAAAGTACCGTGAAATAATAATAATAATAATAATAATGATAATAATAATGATAATAATAATAATGGTAATAATATTAATGGTTTTCATTCGTTTTCACAAAAGGAATTAATATTATTATTTTTTTTAATAGGTTTTTTGTTCATTAATAGTAGCCTGCGTGGCCCTACCGGAACCTCCAGTTTTTGGAGGATATCCGGCGAGTGGATTAGATAGTTATGCAGCACCGGTTGGTGGCGGTGGTGGTTCCGGAGGTAAAGAAAAAACAAAATCTATTATTATTATTATTATTTTTTTAAAAAAAATTTTAAAGTAATCAATATGAAAAAATTTAAAGGTGGATATCCAGCTCCGGCTCCACAATATGGACCACCGGCCCAAGCTCCAGTCGTACACAAACACGTTTACGTTCACGTACCACCTCCAGAAGCTCCAGTTTACCAACCAAGAAAAGTTTATCCGGCTCCGGTACCTAGAAAACATTATAAAATAGTTTTCATAAAAGCTCCAACTCCACCAACTCCAACCGTACCGGATCTTCCAGTTCCAGTACAAGATGAACAGGTACAATCGAATCCCACGATATAATAATAATAATAATGATAATAAATTATTTCTTTATCTCGTACTGGATTCGTACCTTTTTTTTTTTTTATAGAAAACTCTTATCTACGTCTTGGTGAAGAGACCAGAAGAACAACCAGAAATTCACATTCCAACACCAGCACCAACGAAACCTAGCAAACCGGAAGTTTATTTCATCAGATACAAGACTCACGTAAGAATAATAATAATAATAATAATAATAATAATAATATTTTAAATAGAATTATTAAATCCGTTATTAAACGAACGAAAAAATCATTGTTGCAGAAACAAGAAGGTGGTTATCCAGATTCAGGTGTACCAGCATCATTTGCATCATCTGGAGGATCTGCACCAAGCGGAAGTTACGGAGTACCAACATCGAATGGTTATTAAAAAAATTAAAAAAAAAAAAAAATTTTTTTACATTTGCTCTTAATTCGGTGGCACTAATTCAGAGCAATTTTTTTTTCCCCTAATAACAAAAATAAGTTTAATAATCTTTTTGTTTTATGTACATAAAAATAACTTATGATATGAAATTGAAAATGACGAGGAAAATGTCTACAACTCTTGGATTTTAAAAAGTGTTTTTCATAAGATGTAAAAGGAAAACAAACAAGTTGATAAAGATCTTAAAACAACAAACAACAAACAACAACAACAACAAAAGATTATAAACTTATATTTTCAATTTTATATTATTTTAATATTAAATTAATATTAATTTGTATATATATATATTAATTTTGTTATTTTAATAATAAAAATTTAAAAAAAAAACTTTTTTTATTGTCTTCTTAACAACAACAACCAGAACAACAAACAAATCATCATTTAAACCGACAAACAATTACATAAGTAGGATAAGGCAAAAAAAAAAAAAATAATAAATTTTATGAGCAAATTTATAAATTTTTTATTTAATTAAAAAAAAATATATAAAAAAATTATTATTATTATCTCTATTTATTTATTTATTTTTTTTTTTTTTAAATATTTTTAAATAAATGCGCTACAAGCTATACAAAGGCATTTTAAAACTAGACGAGGCACAACCTTAAAATAATAATAATAATAATAATCATCTTTGATAATAAAAAAAAAAAAAAAAAAAAAAAAAAAAAACTCATCACTCTGACATAAAATATATAATTATTATTTACACTTAATAATAATAATAATGATGAAATTGTATTTAAACTTAAGTCACTACCTATTACTTAAATGACAAATACTATGAGGATGATAATGATGATGATGATGATGATGATGATGATACGTGATAAAAAAATTTTTTTTTAATATTAAATTTATATATAATTTAAAAAGGCCTTTTCCTTTTTTTCCTTTTTTTCACCCTTAACAAAGGACACTTTTTTTTTTTTTTTTATTATTATTAATCTATATGTGAAAAAAATTTTTAAAAATATTATTATTATTATTATCGAAAATGAAAATAATAATAATAATAAAAAATATTTGACATTTTACAGCAATTATGTGAATTTTTTGTTGTAATATGTACAGTGTGTCGTGTGGTTTTTTTATTATTATTATTTTTTTTTACGAAAGAGGAACATAAATAACATTTATCGATAATGATAATAATAATGATAATAATAATAATGATGATAAAGAGAAATTTTTTGTACATTTCAAAAAAAAAGTAAAAATAAAATTGATTTGTATAAAAAAAAAAAAACGACAAAAATTATAAAAAAATTTTTTTTTTTTTAAATTTGATTTGAGTGTGTCAATTATACATATTATTATTATCATTATTATCATTATTAATACTATTTTATTACGTTTTTTTTAATAAACTTGATTATGTTATGTAATTTATTTTAAAAATCGATTCACTGGGAATGTTTCTTTTAAGTCTTATTTATGCGATATTTTTTTTTTTTTTTCAAAAATATAAATTTTATTTATGTAACCATAAAAAAAAAAAAAAAAATTTCTGTTTTATTATTACTACTACTAGTATTATTATTATTATGATTATCATAATTATTATTATTATTATTATTCATTCGTAATAATAATAATAACAATTTACAATTAAAATTGAGTATTTTATCGAGTCTTTTTTTTATTAAAAAAATGAAGTTTTTAATTTTAGTGATTTATTAAAGAGATCAATTAATTATTTATTTATATTAATTATTTCCTTATTAATATTTTTATTTTTCCACAAAATATATATATAATTATAAAAAAATGGACGCAAACGTGTTAGGTAAATGATAGTAATAATAATAATAATAATAATAAGAGTTATGTTAAAACAGTCTTGAAATTTTTTTTTTTTTTTTTCAACGGATAATGATTTCATCTATTTTTTATTTTAAAAAAATTAATTTCTACTCTCTTTAATATTAATAATAATAATAATAATAATGATTATTATCTCCGTAAAAAAAAAAATAAATAAATAAATAAACTTTCTGTTAATTTCCTATAAACTATCAATTCGCTGATTGTGATATTATTTTGTGGTCCCCCAATATAATCCACGCACGCCCACACGTGTGTGTGTGTGTGTGGGCGTGCGTGTTATCAAGTTATCACCGGCAAATAATTAAAAAAAAAAAAAAATTTCTCTTTCTCTTTCTCTTTCTTTCTTATGAACAATTACTATAATAATTGACATTTTGTGTTTTTTTCTATATTATTTTAAGCCAAAATTTATATATATATATAAATTAAGTGTAAAGCACGTTAATAAGCTTATAAAGAAAAAAAAAAAAATGTATATCTACAGTTATGATGAGATCTTTCAAACATTTTACATACACAACCGTTAAAAAAATTGCACAAAATTTTAATTTTTCAATGAGGAATGATTTTGAGTTTACAATTATTATTATTATTATTATTTTCATACCGGAGTTTCACTCATGTCCTTCCTGAAATAAAATATAAAAATCAATTGTTATGTGATAAAAATTTAAAAAAATTTCTTCTAAATAAAGTTTTTTTTTTTTTTTTTTCAACGACTTCTTACCTCCCTGTTGATGGTGGGTGGGTGGGCATTAAAGGAAAAAAAAAAAGAAAATTTGATTCTTTGCGTTTTGTCAAAGTAGAAAAAATAATAATAATAATAATAAAAGTGCGTGCTTACTCGGAATCTTGAGCATCCGTATCCAGATGAGAATTTTTTGGAAAAAGTGGAGAATTTCTTGTCGGTGTATTTCGCTGATGAAGTGACAAAGAGGAAGGATAATGAGATCCGACAGAGGTGTAAGGTTGGTTTTCCTTTTGTGGTAAATTATTTGAATTCGTTCTTTGATGAACATCTTTGTGGAATGTCGGAGAATCTCTCGATTTTGTAAAATACGATGATGATGGGGATTCGCGAAATTCTGAATAGCTCGGAGAATCCCGATGGCTTCTTAAATTGGGGGAATCCCTGCTGCTTCCTCTGCTGTGCAAACAATTGTTTGAAGAATATGTGGGAACCGTGCAATGATCTTCTTCCGCTGCGTAGGGTTAATTCATTAATTAACGATAAAGTTTTACTCTCATGTTCATCATTTATAACGAATAAATTATTATTACCTGTATATGGGAAAAGATATTTTTCACCCAAATGAACTTTTTCTTCGGGATCTGGTACGTCCATATTGTAATTATCCATTTTATTATCGTTTTCGTACACGGTTGACAAATTGACTTGATACGAATTTGTTTTCTCGTACAGCGAAGGTTCCAAATGTGAAAGTTTATGCGGATCATATTCGCTTAATGGATCGATATCGGGTCTGGGCAATGGCTGCGGTGAAGTTTCATCATCTCTTAATTCGCTCACTTAAATTTAAAGAAACAACACTTGATATATACTGGGGAGGGAGGGGGGAAACCAATTTACGTTTATTTTAACGACTTACTATTTGACGGAAGATAAGATTGAGGAATTTGACTTGACCATCGAGGAGCATACAGGGGTGCCAAATTTGGAAATAATTCCGATTGACTGATTACGTTTAATGTTGGTGGAGATGGGACGCCTCCTTCGCATATGTTCGGCATGTAATTAGTGTTGATGGGTCCATCTTGAAAAAGAAAGAAAAAAATGAAACGTTTTTTTTTTTTTGAAAATACCAAAACGGAAATACAAAATTATTATTATTATTATTATTAAATTTACTTCTTGTCGAACGGTGAGGTCTTGATGAAACATCGTCATCGCTGCTATGACTAGATGCTAATTCTAGGCTTCTACCATCTACGGAATTATCAGAATCCGAATCGGTTTGAGCATTCCTTCCTTCTACGTAAAAAAAAAAAAAAAATTATTAAAAATAATATAATTGATTAGTAATAAGGTGATACCGCCACCCGCTAACCTTCTTTTATCTTTCCCGGACTCTTATATCCCCTCATAAAGCTGGGAAGTTCGTTTGTGGAATTATAGTTGCTTGTACTTGTGTCGGTATTAGTTCCTCTCAATTGAGTATCACTACGATACGGACTACTCGAAGTCTTAGCGGTACTTCTAGAAGTTGTCGATGATGTTGATATACCCATATTCCTTCTTGTAGATACGCTTACTTCTGCATTTCTGTACGCTAGAGCCGAACGCTGAAAATCAAAAAAAAAGATTTTTGTGTATCATCATCATTTTCTTCTATATGAACATTATTCATAAATTTTCTTACTGCACTAGTCGGTCGATCGCTTGCAATGTTCGATGAGGATCCTATAGCATCAATACTTAAATCCAAGTCTTTCGGAATTTCTTTACCGCAGCATTTAAGTAAGGAAACGTAAAGGTTACGTCTGACACGTGCATTAACAAAACAAAATCCTGCCAAAGTATAGACGGCTTGAATGATAACCGCCAGGGAAAGTGCATGAGGCAATAACGCAAGAGGTTCCGATACGTTTAAAATGAGAAATATCCATACGATTCCAAGGAGTGGTAAAAATATCACCGACACCCATACCAATGTTCTATTGAAAAAAAGAAAATTTACGATTAGAGTAAGAACAATTCGATAAAAAATAAACAGAAAACTTTACCTTAAATTTCCATAACCGAGAATATGATTTTTTAACGTGAATGCTGCTCTTATGGAAAGCATTAACATAATCATAGTAATGACGACGACAAACGTTATCGGTCCGACAAGACTCCAAACGACTGATTCGTATATGGACAACCAACAGAAATAAAAATTTCCATATTGATCAGCTCTCACGCCAACGGATAAACCGACGATTATAGCCGGAAGTCCGTAGCCCAAACAATAATAAAATCTGTATAAATAAATAATAAATTTAGTCATTCGTGGGTTTTACAGTAAAAAATGAACGATGGTGACGTCATTATAAAAAAATGTTTACCTCATTTGACCATGATTGATATCTCTGAGCTCTGTAAGCATTCTGTACAAGTGTAACGAATCAACAAGAGTCCAAGAAAAAGATGATAGCCAAAAATAATGGAGGAACATTGCAATCATTTTACACGGAAACTGTAAATTAAATTTTGAACGATGGATTTTTTTTTTTTTTAATTTTTTCATTTTCGCGAGTCGATTTTAAACCGAAAATTTTTTTTTTACCTCTTGTTGGAGTAAAAGACTTCGAAATTTCAATGCGGCAAAATATATTATTTCTCCGCACAATATGCAAAAAACGATATTTTTATGAATGGAATTCGAATTGGTCGGACGTCCTCGTATGCAAGAAAGTATTAAAAGTGCGATTATAAGAAGAAATATCGATACGGAGAATCCGACGTAAGTCATTAAATCTTCTAAGAATGTCGGTTGAGGAATGTACTACAAAAGAAGACATACATACCGTAAAAAAAAAAAAAAAAAGAAAGAAAATAAAAAATTAACAATCAAAAATTAAAAATTTACCTCGAGATCAATGACGTCAAGCAAAACAGCAAAAGTTGACAAGTGATAACAGGTGCAATTAACAATATAAGGCTCAGTATCATCATTTACTTCTGGTAAATCAGTATGGCAACCAGATCTGGACCATTCTCCTTTTCTAAAATATAATTTTAATTAACAATAATTTTTTTTTTTTAAAGATGATTTTAAATAAAATTAAATTTTTACCCTCGAACCGTAGTCCAATGAACGCATTGAGGATTTGATTTTATCGGTTGTCTTTCGCTGTCCAACCATAATCTTACTCGAATGGGAGATACGAGTCTTATTTCACTTAACGGTTTATATATAAAATTATTTCCATCATTTTTATTTTCGTCTAAAAAATAATAATAATAATAATTTTTTTAAAGGAAAAGTAACATTTATTAAATTAAAGGAGACGATATTGACCTTCTGATTCCGTTTCGTAAGGAACCAACGTGGAAAAGGATAAAACGGCAGATCCAACTTTCAATTGAATTCCCCAACGTTTCGTAACTGTTTCGTCATATTCTTCGGGAAATAAATTTCCGGCTTCTTTATAAAATGCATAACCGAAAACGGCTCGTCTTTCCGATGCTTTAAGATCCGGTAAATCACCTTCAACAAAAAAAATTTTAATTAATTTCTTCTTCTTCTTTTTTTTTCTTTTTCGATTCCCGATTCCCGATTCGACAACAAACCTTGTTTAACATTTTCGATTCCCAATATATGCAAAGGAATCATAACTTTTGAATGAGTATCGAAATTCTTCGAATCTTGAAGATAATTATTGTATTTTGGAAAAGACACGGTTGGACTTGTTTTCGTTTCTAAATCAGAAACCGAACTCGCCATGTTTAACTAAAAAAAAAAAAAAATTAAAAACTTACTTTGGCATATTTCTTAAAAAACATAGGTTAAAGTTCAAATTTTTATTACCTCCAGAGAAGAATGTAAAAAATGTGACGTATCCGGTAAAATAACTTTTTCTTTTTCACCGATTTGATTTTCTTTATCTGAACCTTCGTAGCCAAAAACACTCGAAGTTGTTATGACGTCAAGGCCAAGAACTAAAGGTTTGAATTAAAACCAAAAAATTAATCATTTTTTAAAAGACAAAATTTTATTTAAATAAATAATAAGTACCCATATTCGGTTTGACTATTTCAAAGGGACTCGTGTAAATATCACCCTGACTGGAAGTTAAAGTCGATAAATATTTTTCAATATCCATCACCAAATCAACGGGCCCCTCATCAATTAATTTTTCTACCGTTTGCCAATGATTAGAATATTTAGGATCTAATAATACGTTAGCCGAAGATACCAGGTTCTAAATTTAAACAAAAAAAAAATAAATAAATAAAATAATATTTAGAGAATATATATATATATATATATATAGGAAAAAAATTTTATGAGAGACTAACCCTTATGTAATCTTTATCCTGACTGTGTGTTAAATTTAATCCAGACATTGTATTTTCGTAATTAATTAATTTTTCAATTAGTTGATGTGCAACCATAACGTCAACGCCGTGAAGAACGGATGTCATGTTAGTTGCTTCATATAAATCCGAAGCAATTTTAACAGCAACGAACGTATTAATATGGAGCTCTTGATTATTAAGCTGATTTAACTGAATACCAAAAATTTATTTATTAAAAAATTGTTCGATTAAAAATAGTAATAATAATAATAATAATGAAAAGCATACCACTTTATGCAAGCTAACAAATTTATCTGATGTGCAATTGAATAAATCAGGTTCATCCCAACCTGAAGTGTCTCCGTTGCAAGATCTTTTTGCCTTTCCAACGGATCCAACAGGACAACTGGCGGTGGCCACTTCTCCGAACGTTGTTCTATCCCACCAAAGACCAAAACTAAAACTTTTGGGACAGCCGTCGTACACCACTGTGGTAGATGATCATAAAGTCAAAATAAGAAAAATTGAAAAGAAAAAAAAAAAAAAAATTTTCGGCGCCAAAAAAAACGAACCTTCGCATCCGTTTAAAGTAACTTCCGCATATGGATTTGAACAACTGTCACATCGTCGACCTATGACACCAGGTCGGCATTCACATTGACCGTTAAGAGTGTCGCATTTGGGAGTAAACGATCCAGCGAGGTAACATTCGCAAGGCAAACATTTTTTTGATCCCGAGGGTTGAAAATGATTTTCCTAATTGAAATTAAATAATAAATTTGTATTCGTATGATATAATGAAAAAGAAAGAGTGAAATAATAAAATGTACTTGAAGAATAAAAGGGATTCCCCTAATTTTAAATTAAACTTACTTTACAATAACATTCTCCAGTCGTCTTGTTGCATTCTGGATTGTAACCTGATTCGACATTACACTGACAAGGACCACACACGGGATAACCCCACCAAGAACTAGGACATGGTTGATCGACTTTTGTTTCGCAATACTCTCCTATAAATGTAAATTAACGTTTTCTATGTTTTTTGCTTCCCCCCACAAAAATCATTAAATATTTTCTTCGACTCTTTTTCCTTACCGGAATATTCATCTGAATCGCAGGAGCAGAGATAACCCTTGGAAAATGAAGAATCGTGAACGCAACGACCTCGATTTTCACAAGGATCATACTCGCATACATCCGAACAACTTAATCCAACCCAACCTAAGTGACAAGAACAGGAAGAATGTTCCCAGTATTCCTTGCAATCGCTGTGTGCGGGACATTTAGCTTCGGGACACGTTGCAGTCGAACTACATCCTTCGGATACATTTTTCTTTACGGTAGGTCTTTGAAGGGAAGTTTGTTGATTTCCCACCTTTATATCCTAAAAAAAAAAAAATGTATATATGTATATAATTTTAAACAGGATTTGGTTAGTGGAAAAAAATAAAATATTTCATTTTCAATACCTGTATGCAACCGTCAAAATATCCAAAATCAGAATTAAGACTTAGGTAGCTTTCATCAGGTCCGCCAACCAAAATTTTATTTACGTAAAGACCTTGAACTTTAACATTGAATGTTTTCGTTATTTCTCTTTGACCGTAATCTAAACTCAACCAAACATCATTTGACATCCATTTTACTTCAATGTGATGCCATAGACCATCGTTAATGATACCGTGACCGAGATTAATTGATTCTCCGTTGTAATAATAATCCAAATAACCATTTTTTAACTATTGAAAAAAAATATATATACATTTTTTTTATGTTTATTAATATGTTACATGAAACATTTTGAAAAAAAATATAATACCAACCGCCATCGTGGCAGAACTATTTTGTCCAACTTGAATACTCATAAGGAAAGCATCTTTTTGTAATGTTTTTACACTTAATGAATTTATCCAAGGTAATTGAATGGGTCGTAATAATGGATTGTAAGACAAAATCCCATCCCCTCTGAATCTCCAAGAAGATTGAATCGCTACGTACATAATATTAAAATAATTTTTTTTTATTAAATTTTACATCAAAAAAATTTTTTTTTAATAATACTCTAATATTTACATTGGGAACAATCTTTTCCTCCGTGTCCTTCTTTACATTCGCACAAAAATGTACCCCATTCTTCTTTACATTTTCCTCCGTTTTTACAAGGATTCGACGAACAAAAATCTTTCTTATGATGGCATCCTGCAGTTGTACCATTATCAGCGACAAAGCTAAACAACATTTAAGTATTTAAATAATCAATAAATTTTTTTTTTTTTGTAACATCGTAGCAAAAAACTACCTGTTAAGATCAATAAATTTGTGATCGATGTAAAGATCCGATATGCAACCATCGAAATCTTTATTTTGAACTTGAAAATTAGTCGGTAAACTGGGGAGGCCACCAAGTTGTAAGGGCCCCGTCAAATCTAAAAATCTATGACAAGTTTCTGTAAAAATAGCACATTTCGTGGAAAGAATTTGAGTTGTGGAATTGGCGCACGCCCATTTTTCTCCCAATATGGATCCTTTTTTGAGTGCTAATTTTACATCGCAATCATCCAAACTTATCGTGGCCGTCTATAATAAAATTCAAATTGTTTTTTATAACAATTTTTAAATAAAAAAAAAAAAAAATGAAACAAAACCCGACCTTATTCAAATAGAACAATGTAACGGTATGCCATTTTCCATCGCTGACTCCTCCGGGAACTCGAGCTACAGTTCTTGATATATTAGTTCCCAGTGAAAAAGAAAATTGTACGGAACCGTTCATTATTTCTAAAGCAATAAAATCGTGTTTTTCATTGTATCGACCATTGTACAATAACAATCCGTTTTGCGACTGAGTAGCAAACCTACATTAAATAATATTTAAAAATTAATTAATAAAAAAAAAAAATTAAAATTACAAAACCACCGAAGTTTATTTTAAATCCACCAACCGAAATTTAATATGAAGTCTATGCCTTTGTTTTAAAGAAGGAAAAGTTAAAAATGAACTTTTTGAAAATCCACGAGATCTGAGTTCACAAAAATCGTTATAATCTATTTCATTAAGTGGATATTTGTTATTGGGTTTATTTCTATTGTTTCCGAGATAAGTTTTAGATGAATGATTTTCACTTCCTAAGCAATGACACTCGAAACCTTTGTCATTACCAGAAGAAGGTGAACATACTCCTTTTCCACAAAAACCAGATTGACAAGATTGTGAATGTGAATCTATTTCACAGTATAAACCTTAAAAATAAAATTTTGTATAACCTCTTAACCTTTACTAAATTAGTAATAATAATAATAATTTTTTAAACGGTGATTTTAAGATACCTGTAAATCCTTTTTTACAGACGCATGAATATCCTCCTTCTTTTCGCATGCAAGTGGCTCCATTTTGACAAGGATTAGAATAGCACAAATCAACCTCCGTATCGCAAAGATAATGTTCTCGAGAGCCTACGAATCAAGAAATATCAATTTTTTACTTACATTTTAAACTCTTATGATAGGAAAAAAAATTTTTTGTCTATACAACTTACCGGTGAAACCGTGAGGACATTGACAAGTAAATGTTGATACGGGATAAATCGGTCTAAAAAGAACCGAGTCGCTCGATATAAATCCAGAAGCATTTCCAAATTTCAACACGGTCAAGCATTGTTCGTAATTCAAACAAGGCTCTTTTACGCATAGATTATCGTTGAAAGGTAAAATTTGAACGGTGGAAAGTCGAGCAAGAATAGCTCGATTTAAATAAACTCTTTCTTCTAGAAATTGTGATGAATAAAATTCTTCTCCTGTCACGTCAGGTCTCCTAGCCGAAAAACTAACTTTTAATATTTTTGATTCCATGTCAACTTCGTCCTAGTGAGAGAGAGAGAAAAAAAAAACAATTGTTTTTTGTTTAAATTTTTAAAAAGTTTAAAAGTTTATAAAATAATTACCTGAATGCTAAACAGGTATATATATTCCCTCGGACAGGGTATTACGGCTGCTAACGCATCTACGAAAAAACCTAAAAGAGGTGAAAGAAATGCTTTTTCCGTCATGTCAGCCAAACGAACCGTCACGGAATTGAAAAGCATTTCTTCCGTTATGAGTCTCACGAAAAGGCTCATGGTTGCTTTAACTTCATTTATTCCATCTGTAACAAATATGAGAAAGGAAAATCAGTTAAAGAAAATCATCATCAGTCTAATAATTGTATCGTTAAAACTAAAAGTAGTACGAACCGGATACTAGAACTTCCATGCTTGCCAACTTTGGAACATTTGTATTTAATTGAGGAGAAAGAGTTATTTTTCCAGTGCTTTCGTTTAACATAACTAAATTTGCATTGTTTCCAGATAATATATGATAATGAAGGTCATCGGAAACGTCAGCATCAAAAGCTGGAATCGTTCCGACGACGCCATTCGAAAAACATCCGCGAAAATTATTGAAAATAATCTAAATAAAAAAAAAAAAAAATTTGAAAATTATATAAATATATTCATTTGAAAATGGGAAAAAAATATTTTTCCGTACCTGAAAATCTTTTAAAACAGGTGCATTATCATTTACGTCCGTAACTAAAATTTCCACTTTAACATCGTTTCTCAAGGGTGGACTCGCCGCTCGAATGACCATTTCATATTTTTTCCTTGGACTTTCATAATCTAAATCCACGGTAGTTAAAATTTCTGCTTTATCCCAACCCGGCCTCGTTACCAAAGAAAAACTGCTGGAATCTTCTCCACCTGATGAATTATTTCATTAAATATTTTATTTATCCGTTAACAATATTATCAGTCGCTTTATAAAAGTTACCTATTATCGAATATTGAATTATAGCGTTTACTCCTTCATCGGGATCTTTTGCCCTCACCTCACCCACTGTGGAACCTATGGGACTATTTTCCGGTATGTAAAACACAATTTTTTCAGACTCGAATACTGGTGGGGAATCATTAACATCTTCTATTTTAATGTTTACATCTGCCTTTAAATTAAATGTTTATAATATATATTATTGTTTATAACAACAATAAACATTTTATCAATTACTATGATTACACTTACTACACTGTATAGGGAAGGAGTTCCTCTATCAATGGCGTAAACTTTTAAAGAGTAAAAAGGAACACTTTCGCGATCCAAATTTTTCGAAGTTCTTATAACTCCCAAAGTTGGATCGATAACAAATGAATTATCTACGGCACCACTACTTCCTGGAGGATTAAATGCATACCTGTAAATTATTTAAGCATTTTGAAATTATTCTAATATTTTCTAACATCGATTAAGGTTTTTCTTTAAGGTTTAATTACCTGATTCTACCGTTTAATCCGGAATCAATATCAGTAGCTTGGACTTGAAGAACTGATGTTCCCACTAAAGCATCTTCAGAAATAACACCCGAGTATGTTGCACTTGAAAAAACAGGAGAATTATCATTAACGTCTTTAACTGTGATTTCAACATCTGTCGTATCAGACAAAGATGGAACGCCTAAAATAAAATAAAAAAATTTAAATTAATATTTAATTTTGAATGGATTGATTGTTAACTTTAAAATACAATTCTTACCCCCATCTCTTGCTGTAACTGTTAACAAATAACTAGAAACGGTTTCTCTATCCAAAAGCTTTGTCGTTACAACAGCACCGGTTTGTGGATTTATACTAAAGCTGTCAACGGAAAATTCAGCACCGGATGTTAATGAATACGTTATTTGAGCATTTTGACCGACATCTCCATCGGATGCCTGAACAACTAACACCTAAAAATATTTTTTTTTTTTAAATAACAACTACCTTTACCTTACTTTTAAAAAAAAAGTTCTAAAATCGGGGAATTACTTACAGTTGTACCAACTGGAGCATCTTCGAAAACTTGAGCAGTGTAGGGAGCGTTTTCAAAAACAGGAGAATAATTATTAGCATCAGTTACATTGACGTAGACGGTGGCTATATCAGACCTTCCCCCCGTATCAGTCGCGCTAACCGTTAGTATATACCTTTTATCTTGTCGATAATCTAGTGGATGCGCAATTGCCACAAGGCCCCGATTATTTTGTGATGTGATACTAAACCTTCCTCGAACATTTCCATTTGTTATTTCATAATGAAGCCTAAAATACAACATCTTTGTTAAAGTAAAATTTTTTTTTTATATTTTTAATTACTAAAGGAAAATTCACCTCGAGTTTTCATCGGGATCAGTGGCGGTTACACTTGCAACTAAAGTCCCGGGTGGATCTTGCTCAGATACGACGACCTCGTATATTTTAGGATTAAATACGGGGTCGTTATCATTGACGTCCTGTACGTTGATGATTACGTTGGCAGTGGCACTCTTTGGAGGCTCTCCTCCATCTTCAACGATCACCTTCAAAATAATAATAATAATTGAACAAAAATTTGTCATAAAAATATAATTTAAATATAAAATTGTAAATTGTATACAAAGACAAAAAGGTAAAGGCACATACCTGAAATTGATATTTACTGGTCATTTCTCGATCAAGAGGTTTAGTAGTTTGAATCCAACCTGAAACGGAATCAATCGTCAGGGGAAGTTCATTTGTTGGCGTTCCAAATTCATCTCTTTCGCTCAAAGAATATTTTAACGCAACGTTAGCACCCTCATCCGAATCATATGCTTGAACCTAAAAAAGAAAAAAATGAAATTTCAAATTAAAATCATGATTCTTTACCGCTGAAAAAAAATTTTTTTAAATTTCCAAAACATTTTAAAATAGTAATAATAATAGACAAATGACTTTTTTTACCTTTACAATACTGTATCCTACAGGTACACTTTCGAGAACGGATTCTTGAAATAAAGTACTATAAAATCTAGGTTCATTATCGTTGACATCCTTCACGTTTACCAACAGTTGAGTAGTATTTGATTTACTCGGATTTCCTCCATCTGTTTAATGGAAAAAAAAAATTTTCATTTTAATAAGGTTGGTACGATTGACGTAAATAATTTTAAATAAAGAAATGAAATTTCTTTACCTTGAGCCCGAATAACCAATCTGTAGCTTTTTAAAACTTCGTAATCTAAGGGTTTTGCCAAAATAACATCTCCCGTGAGGCTATCAATTAAAAATTGTGCTTGAGTATTACCACCAATTATAACATACCGAATCGCTGCATTTTTTCCTTCGTCTGCATCTGTTGCCCTAATAAAAAAAAAATAACAATAATAATTAATCACGTTTCAACCGTACTGTAGTAAACGTTCATTTAAAATTTTTTTTTCCAATGGTGCCTGAATACACTTACTTAACGGTAGCTATAACAGGACTAAGACTTGCGTCCATGTCTTCCGGTACACTGACAGTATATGTACGTTCTGTAAATTGCGGATAATTGTCGTTATCGTCCAAAACTCTGACATTTAATAGAGCAGTTGCAGTTTTGCGTTCTCCTACAGGTGGACTATCTGAAGCTATCACGGTCAAAGCATAATTTGCAGTTACTTCTCGATCTAAGGCTTTCCTCGTAGTTACTACTCCCGTTTTCCCATCAATATTAAATTCTTCGTCGGGATCTTTAAATGAATACACAATCTACGAAAAATTTAATAGTTTTCAAATATAATATTTCTTTCTTTTTTTTTTTCTCTTCAAAAAAAATTCATAGTTTTAATTAATACCTCGGCATTTTTATTAATGTCCTGATCTGTCGCTCGAACGGTTATGACGATAGTACCGATAGCCACACCCTCTCGAACAGCAGCTTCGTATGAATCGCTTTCAAAAACGGGAGCGTGATCATTAGCATCAATAACGTTTATTTGAAGTGTCGTGGTGCCACTTCGAGGAGGAAAACTATCATCTGCTGCCACGACACGAAAATAATGAAGATCAAATAATTCTCTGTCTAATTTGACCGAAGTAGTTACCATTCCAGTCGTTTCATCAATATCAAACATTCCCTGTAATATAATAAAAAAATTTATTTATTAAACATTATCTAAAATTTTGTACTTTGAAAAACTCATGAAATCATTTTCAAATACTTGTGATCTAGAATCAATTAGCGACGACATTGAATACGTTATTGACGAATTTTCCGGATCTTTAGCTCTGAGAGTTATGACTGGTATTCCGGGAGCTTTTTCTTCTATGACACTCGCCACGTAGAGTGCTTGATCAAAATAGGGACTCTGATTTTTTAATTCTCTTCTTACTCTATGAGCTACTTCGGTATCATTTAATTGTTCGTGATGATAAATTATCTTTAAACGATGATCCATAGAGTTTAAAAACCCTGATTAAACAAAAATAAATAAATAAATATTTTTTAAAAAAAAACTTTTTTTAAACACTATTAAGATGTTAATTATGCTTTACCCGAACTCCCGAAACAATTAAGATTTAGGAAAATTGTGATTTTCCAAATAGGTTCCAAAATGCAAAAATCATGAGTTGCAACCAAATCTCCAGCAGAAGTTTCAACGGTAAATCTTGGATCGTCGACGTTCACGTATTTTATTTCGCATACTCCTAATAAATAAATTAATTAATTAATTAATAAATAATTTAATTTTTGAAATACGTAAATAAATTTAGAAAAATATTACTCGATTCTTACCCGATAAAATTGTTTTGGGTAAAAATGATGAAATGCTGTTGACGAATTGACTTTTTTTAAGGCATATTTTGCTGTATTCGGATTCGCTTGGCATGGCAAACGATGCTAAAGATTCACTAATCCAATTTTTCGCTTCCGAATATCTAAAATTACAAAGTTTATGAAGATACGTTAAGGAGGAAAATTTTCTCACACGCAATTAATTTTAAAAAAAAAAATGTACTTACAACAATTCTTTATCAATTGTATTAATTGTTGTCGGAGAATTATTAATTATTTCATCTTCGTTGCAACTTTTTCCATAAATAAAAATTCTCAATGGCATCGAATAATATTTAACACCGTTCACATTTCTTTTATGCCTTTTATTTTCGTACCCATTTTCAAATCTCATATTTTTAATACTATTTATCAATGATTGAAAATCTTCATTTTTTTTTTTAGAATTTTTTTCGGGTAATTTTTCCGGGAAAGAATCCACGTAAAGAGTAAATAAATTTGGATACCATATTCCTTGACAGTCTAATTTTTCTTTAATGAAAACTTCTCCAGACGTTCTATCGACTCCTAATAATTTTTTTACAAAATATCCATTTTTATGAGTATTTAACGAATAAATTCTATTTTTATGTAATTTTGTGAGTGCGGCATTAAAAATAATGCTTCCTTCCGATATATTATCTGGCACCAAAATGACGTAACTTAATATTTGATGACTTAATAAAATTATTATTAAAAAAATGATATGTATCGGCGGATAAAAAAAGTGCCATTTTTTATGAGTATTATGAATTCTTTTACTATTTGCCATGTTTATATTATTCACATAATTATTTTCATGTCATAAATAAGACTCTTTTTTCCCCTTTTTAAAAGATGATTGTTGTGGAAACTCTATTTCATTTAACTCATCTGAAAAAATAAAAAAAAATTAATTAAAATTATTTTTAATGAGGAAATAAATCCACGATTAAAAATATTCATAATCAAAAAAAAAAAAAAAAAAAAGTTTTCCCGTAGTTTTCTGTTTAGAACATAAAAAAACAATTTAAAAAATTTTTTATTAAAAAAAAAAAAAAAAAAAAAACATGATTTGAACAAACAAGTTTTTTTAGTTTTTAAAATTTTTTTCTTCTTCTTATTTTCTATTACATATGCTTGAATTTAAGATTTTATGGTTTTTTTAAAACTTCACTTTCTATTTTTGATTAAAAAAAATTCTAATGATGAAACTCGTAATAATAATAATAATAATAATAATAAATTGATATTAAATTAAAATTTTTTTTATACGACATATGTATTTCATAATTTTTTTTTTTTAATAAAAATTTCCAATGTGTTCAATTATATGATTCATGTATATCATATCAATATCACCCTTATTTTTTTTTCCCTTTCATTTCAAAAAATTTCATTTCTTATTATTATTATTATTATTATTAGTTACAACAGGAACGAAAAACAAATTTTTTTTTTTTTTATTCGAATAAAACTTCTAAAATATTAATAATAATAAAAAAATGTTTGCGTTTCCATTTAAAAACAACCCAACAAGTTTACATCATTATGAAAAAAATGTTTTTTTTTATTATCACATTAGAGCAAACTCGTAATGTTTATCACATAAAAAAATTTATTTATTTCCGACTTCGATTTATTTAACTAATAAAAAAAATTAACTGGAAAAAAAAAAAAAATTTATTAATTCTTTAAAAAAAAACCGTTAATAAGATGTGGCGTTGATAATAATAATAATAATAAAATTTGAATCGAAATTATTTAACGAATTATCACACATCGTAATAAAAATTTTTTTTAATTATTATTTTTTTTTTTTTTTTACCCTTACTTCTTCTATTAATTAATATTAATTAATTTAAATAGAAAGAGAGAAAGAGAGAGAGAGAGAGAGATAGAAATATTGCACGTTCTCCAGTAAATTCTAGTGTGAAAACACCCTTAGGCTATATATATAGTCATTCTATTGTAATTCACAACGAATCAACTTTTTTTTTATAATGAGTTGGCATTCAAAAAAAAATACCTGGAATTTTTTTTTTTACATTTATTAGTTAAAATATTTATACTAAATTAAATAATGCCCTTTTGATTTTTACAAAAATGTAATATTTAAAAATAAATGCCATCTCATTAATTTTACCATGCATTATCAAATGCAAGAAAAAAAAAGATAAAATTTATAAAAATTATATTTACATGTTTTTTCTTACTTTTTGTTTAAATAATCTTAAATTATTTATTTAAATAATATATATACTATTAAAACAGATCACTAATTATATGTAACACTAATTAATTAAAAAAAAAAAAAAATTCATTTAATAACAAATACTTGATCAAAATAACAATTTTTTTACAGTATTTGTATTTAAATATAATTTTTTATATAAAAAACTATAACTGTAACTGATTAAATATAATTTTACACATTTCACACATTGATAAAATCATTATTATTATTTATATGTATGTATAAAAACCGCGTGAAAATTACATATAATGACTAAATATATATATATTATTAAATTAAATGAGAATTTTTTTTTTAAATTTAACTTTTTCTTACACAAATTCTTTTACGACAAAGAAAAAGAAATTCAACTACATAAAATTTTGAAACCAATAAAATGTTAATCTCCATTAAACATAAGAAGAAGAAGAAGAAGCAATAAAAGCTCGTTAAACTCCAGACATTTTTTTTTTTTTTCTGTAATTTAATTATTATTATTATAAACTCGACATATTTATCGTTTGAATTTAGAAAAAATTAACGAAATATTATCGTTAAATAACAATCGAAATTAAATAATTACAATACGTTTTATATTTTTCTTAATATTGTTTAAATATAAATAATATTTTAATTAAAATACCTTGGATTTAATCATTCTGGAACCACTCACGTAAACAACTTTGGACGCCGCCATGACACAAACTGGAATCTGAACGCGCTCTGGTAAAGAATCAACTTCTTGAATCCGATTTTAATTTTTTTATACATAAATTTAAAAATAAGAAAAAATTTTTTTTAAATTGTTCAAAAAAACCATTAAAACTTTCTTATATGTGATAAATATTTTTTTTTAAAGAATATAATTTAAAAAATTAAAATTATAAAATATTAAAAAATTAAAAAATTAAAAAAAAAACTAAAAAACTTACTATGGCTATGTGTGTGTGTGTGTGTGTGTGTGGACATTTTTTTAACAAACTACTACAAAAATAAACTTATTACAAAATAATAAATAAAAAAAATTATTTATTTAAAAACTTAACTAATTCCTATTATAATAATTATTTTTTTATAAAAATTATTGATTTGATTGAGTTAGCAAAGCTTGAAATACATTTTCCGCGGGTAATATTTTAAGATTAATTAAAGATTCAATAAGTTGAGTTTTAGCATTTCCTACAAAACTATTTTTTAAAAAAGCTGGTAAACCCCTGTAAGAATCTGACATTGTATATAAAGGAACCCTAAAATTTCCTAAAACTTCTTCACCGAAATCTTTTGCCCTATATGAATTTTTTTCTATATCGAATATTTTAGTTTCGCTAACTTCGATTGCATAAAAATGTAAAACTAATTTATTATATTCGTCGACATGTGTAAATTGATAATGAGAATCCATGACAGGACCAACATCTTCAATCCAACCTACTTCTTCTCTTAATTCCCTATTGACAGCTTCCGTTGGTGATTCACCATCATCTACACCCCCACCTGGAAATCCTAATAATCCATCAAATCTCATTTGCATCTAAAAAAAATATATTTATATATTATTTTTTTCCGTTTTTGATAAACGCAATAAAATCTTACCAAAATAATTGCTTTTCGATCGTAAATTTGTAAAGATTTAGTGGAAGTCGTAGCGTAAATCATGGCGTGACTACAATGAGTGTAATTTTTATAGATATTATCATTTTTATCAATTTTTTTAAATGCATATAATTTATTTATATCTTCAAAACCTTCTTTGGGTATGGTTGAACTTGATACATGCATAACTAACTTTAAAAAATTGTTGAAAGCTGAAAAAAAAAAAAAAAATTAAAAATACACTTTTGAAAATATTATTTTAACACTTATTCGAAGGTATAATAAAATTAAAAGATTTTCATATATATATAAAACTTTTAAAAAAGTAAAAAAAAAAATACAAAATGAAATTGATATTTCTTTTTTTTCTAGAACAAATTGTGTTTTTTTTTTTTTTATCAAAGTTTTAATCTTAAATAAATTTTTAAATATTTATTTTGCGACTCACCTTCTGCTCCAAGAAAGAAAAAGTTTAAAAAGACTAATTTTTTATTTGTTAAAAACAAATCAATTTATTTTGTTTAAATTATTATAAATTGACGATTTATATATAACAGTTAATAAAAATTCGTATTATTTGTTTTTATAATTAAAAAAAAAAAAAAAAAATTAAACATCGTCGTCGTCGTCGTCGTCGTCTTACTTTTTCGAGAAAATTTCAATATTGCCGGGAAAAAAAAATTAATTAAGTTGGCAATTGTGTTATGTTAATTGTAAAAGCTCAGTAGTAGTAGTAATTATCTTCAACTGTGAGTTATAAAGTAACGGAAAATTAATTTTAAAATGTACGAAGAAATTTCTAATTGGGGAGAAATAATTAATAAAACGTTAAATCAAGGTCGAGAGGATAAATCTTCAGAATACAAGAAAATTAATCCAGGAGATAAAAGATACACTGAATTTGTACATTGTTCTCATGTTATGATTTATTCAAAAACAAATTCTCTTTTTGAAAATTTTGAAAAGAAAGCAATTATTTTGGTAAGTTATTTACATAAACTATTTTTTTTTTTTTACTATTCATGAAATAGTAATTTAATAAATTTTTATTTACTTTTTATTTATTATTGATTAAATCTTTTTTTTTTTTTTTGAATAACATTGAAAGAAAAAGTAGGCGTTTAAGATAAGAATTTGATTATCTGTTGATTACAAGATGTCTAATAAATTATAAATGAAACTTTTTATCGATAAATTTTTTCTTTTTATTTGGCGACTAAAATATTAATTTTTATTTTTTTATTTTAGATGCAAATGAGATTTGATGGTTATATAGGTTTCCCTGGTGGAATAGTAGACAAAGGAGAAACTCCTTTAAGTGCATTACATAGAGAATTAAAGGAAGAACTTAATTGGAATGAAAATGATGGATCAATATTAGAATCTGATATCATGTTTGCTCATGTCGATGAAAAAAATGAACGTGTTTATCATTTTTATGCAACTGAAGTCACAGAAGAAAAAATGTTAGAAATAGAATCTAAAATGAATAAAGCATGTGATTATGGAAATGAAGTTTTGGGTACTTTTCGAATTCCATTGTATATAATGGGTGATGCTTTCAGAGGTTTTCCTTCGTTTTTAAGGAATCATTTTATAGGGAATTCCAAACGTCAATTAATTGAATCATTAATTTATTTAAAGTTTTTCTCAGAAGAACAAATGATTCAGGCCTTATATTCAGCACCTAAAATAACTAAATAATTTTAAATTTTATCAATAAACATAATTTAAAAAAAAAAAAAAAAATTTTGTTTCTTAAAGATGACACTGATTGCATTTATTTACTCAAAACTTACATTGTTATTAATTTACCATTGTATTTATAGTTTTTATAGTTTTTTTTTTTTTATATATTTACAAAAAGTTTAAATAATTATTCTTGTTATGTTTTAAAAATTTTATATTAATAAAAATAAAAATTAATTTAAACTATTTATTTAATTAAATTAAATAATTTTTTGTAGTAAGTGAATATATCCTTTTTTTTATTTTTGGCTGAATTTTTATAAAAGCATGTTTTTACCCGAAATTGCATATTAACAAAAATTATGATTGTTTATTTCTTATGAAAGTCAACAGCTATTTAAAAATTCTAAAAATTATTCTCTTTCTAATCTATTTACAATGTGTTTTGAAATAAACCAAGCAAACTATAAATTTACTCAATGTTTATATGAGCTCAAAATAGTCACTGACATAATTGTAAATTTTCATTTTTAAAATAACATTGAAAATATTTTCAAAACTATTTTTTATAAACTTAATCGAAAAAGATAATAATAAAGCACATCTTAAAAATATCCATTTCAAGTTTTTTTTCTTGATATTAACATTACAATTTTCTTTGTCAGATTGATTGCTCTTACCAAATATTTTATTTCTAAATATTGTCTACTATTCAATCGAATAAAAATTTTTAAGAAAATAAAAAAAAAATTATACTTCAAACTTTAATATGAAATCAATTAGTTAGGTAAAGAATTTAAACATTTTATAAACTTTTTAAAAAAACTGAATTTATTTTTAAGTAGATCTAAATTTAAATATTTGTTTTTTTAAACTGATAAAATAAAAATATTTTTAGCGAAATTTTTTTTTGACCGGATTATTTACTACTGAAGTTAAATCAATTTTTTCCAACAAAGTATTTTCTAACTCCTAAAACCAATAATTACAAGTTATCTTTTTTTAAATAAAAAACAAAAAAATATTTAATTTCTTACCTCTGTTTTTACCAAATTATGAGCCAACAACTCTTGTTTTAATTTTTGGAATTTTTTATATGCACTATCACTTTTCTCAATTGCAGCTTCTACATAATTTAATGTTTCATCCATAACATAAAATGGTAAAGCATATTTTGGAACATCTGCATACAATATAGTTTTTAAAATACTCAAAACACTTTGAAAGTCTTTTATATCTGTGAATGCTAAAATCTGAAAATTATATTTTCATTTAACAATTTAAGTATCGAAAGAATACTTTTTAAAAAAAAAGTTAATATAATTAAATATTATACTTTTATATTAATGAAGATTGAATTTGGTTTGTTATTGTTTAAAACATCAATAACAAAGTGTGGCTGTTTTTGTTTTAAAGCTAAACAACAAAGTAATGCTATGCTTCTTTCTGGACATTTAAATTTGCACTTTTCCATGTTGTTATATACATTTACAGCATCTTTGAAAGATTCAGGAGTATTCTAAAGTTAAAAAACAAATTATTACTTTAAATTCAAGTTTTCATTAAAAATTTGATTAAGGTTGACAATGATTCTTAAAAAAATTATATAAAAATTTACTAATTTGTAATTTGCTGCAAAGAACAAATTTGTGATTGAAGGATAATATTTTTTTCCATGGTATTGTTTTTCGATAACGAAATAAAAAATTTCAGTAACATCTTGATACATTTCTCTGTCATATAATAAATTAGCTAAAATAAAATTTGTTTGGAAATTGTTAAATAAAACATTGATTTCTTGATTTTTTAAAAGTTCTAAAGCATCTTGAGGTTTATTTAATGTATAAAATAATCTTGCAATTTCAGGACCAATTTTATAATGGCTGTATTGAACCACTCTTGTCTGCGAACAATATCTATTAAAACCAAAAATTTAAGTCATATCAAGTAATTTTTTTTTTTTTTTGTTGTTTCATTTCCATTTCACTTATTATTTCTTTAATTTAAAAATAAATAATGACTGAACTTACTTTTGCAACATGTTTTTGAACAATTCTACATCTTCATTAGTTTTTGTTATACTAATCATGCATTTTAAATCATTTTCAAATATCATTCCATAAGATCCTTCTTCACATTTATTTTTCATTTCAGCTTTAAACAAGTCTGGATTATTAAGTGTTTTTGATAAATTTGTACGAAATTCTCTAAATGAATCAAGTTTTAAAGTTTCTAATGAATAAAGATTTTTACCTTAAAAAAAAAAAGTTTTTATACATAATTTGATATTTTTTTAAAAAACTTTACATATTTTAAAAACTGTGGAATAATAAATATAAAAATATATATAAAGGGGGATATAAATTTATAATGCTTACATTTTTAGTGTTATTTTCAGAATTTTGCCTTACTTACTTATGATATGTGAAAAATTTGTGATATAAGTGCTTTTGAAAAATTCATTTTTACTATTTGGAAGAAATGTACGAAAAAAAGCTATGTTTCTATAACTCATTTTAATAAATATAAAAACTGTAAGAGAAAATATTGAATTTTAAAACATGAGCAAACTTTAGGTTAAAAACTTTTTCAGGCTTCAATTCGGCTTCAATAATTTTTATAAAAAATATAATAATAATTTTTTCTTTTAATACGTAGATACATTTAAACGTGAAAAAAATGCTAGAAAATAACTCTGTTATAAATAAATTTATCTGAATTTAAAATATGAAATAATGAAAAAAACAAAAATAACACTTTTATAATAATAATAATAATAATAATAATAAGTATCCTTATCTAAGGGACGATAAATAAAATGTTTTCTTACTCTGTGGTGAATTGTGTAATCGACGAATATTTGAATACGTTTTAATAAAATACAATATTTATTTATTATTCTTCATGAAACTAAAAACTTAAAATGTCTCGCCACCGAAATATCAGGTCTATGAATTATTCTGAAGGTAAAACTAATATTTATAATATATTATATTTTTATTAATTATTTATTTTCATTAATTTTTTTTTTTTTTATTTAGAATATGAAGGATTTGACGATGTTTATGGACATTCTGTCGAAGATGACCATTGCATTTCACCCAGTGAGGCTAGGTTTCTTTACGATAGAACAAATCGAACTCAAATATCAGCATTTATAAACGAAGATAATTATATTCCGGAAGAAGATGAACCTAATTTACTCGGTGAAGAGCGATCAAAAGGACATAATGATTCTAACAAAAGCATGGTAGACGAAGATAAGCTTGGAATGTGTATTGATGATATACAAAATGTTATTGGTGACATGTTTCCGCAATCTGTTATAGAAAAAGTTGTACTAAAATATAATTATGATATTCAAAAGTCACTAGATCATATTTTAAACGATTCATCAGGGAATTTAACACTTGGTTTGTAGCGTTTTATTTATTTATTAAAAAAATGTTTTTTAATTGAAAAAAAAAAAAAAAAAAATATTGTTTACTAATAGTTTTTTAGTTAAATTTTGTTTCTTATTTAAACATATATAAAAAAGAGTGTTACTCATTTCAGGTGAATCTCTCCCGAAAAAGGAGTCCAAAATTAAAAACACAGTTACAGGTAAATACCATTTTAAAGGGAATTTAAAAATAATATTTCTAATACTAAGTTTTCCTTTTGAAAATATAAAATCTGCTTTTTTTTTTTTACTTATTCAAGTAACTCGCTTTTTAGATAACAATATCACTTTAAAATTTTAGAGATAAAAATAATTCTTTTTAGTATTTTAAAAGTATTATTAACTTTTATAATTTAATTTTCTTAACTATTATGCAAGTTGAAAAAAAATTGTGTATGTGTATATAAATATGTTCAATGAATATTTTTTTTTCTTTTCATGTGTTTCTCCGGTTTTTCCAAACAAATGTATAAGGTAAGATGAAGATGTTAAAACAGCCTTTATGTTTGAACCAAGTTGTTCGAGCGGATTATTTTCAGGAGGGGGGGACGGCCCGGGGAATTCAGTTAAAAAGTTTGTTATCCCTAAATTAAAAAATAGTAAAATAAATGAAATTGAAAGAGGGGTAGTTGATTTAAAAATTTCTGATGGAGAAGTATCTAATAATTTTTCATCGTTACAAGCATTAATGGAACAACATCAAAAATCTACCGTTAGCAATGACAAAACACAGCTAAGTGAACAGAATTGTCATGAGGACAATACCTTAACTTTGGAACAGTTTTCAAAGAATTTTTTAAATAAGAAGAATTCAACTGATGATCCATCACAAGTAAATGTTGAAATCAAGCCAACCTTTGTAATACCTAAATTACGGAAAAAAAATCCTGAAAATGGCGAAAATAAGTGTTTGATTGATTTATCTTCTGCTCTTAAATTTGAATCTCAATCCAAGCATACATTTCGATCCAAATCTGAGGTTGTTTTTGAATCAGAACCATTACTCACTCCTGAATCGAGTGAAAAATATTTAAATTCTTCCACTAGTACGAATAAAGAATGCCCTGCCTTTGAAGATATTATTTTCGATTCGAGTTTAGACTCATATAAATTTTTTAATAATATTGATTTGGAATTAAATAAAAAAATTTCATCTCCTTTTGGAAAAATATTATGTAGGAAATGGAAAAGTAATTATGTAAACGTTGTGAAAAATGAAAACTTTTTACCCTCATCAAAAGTGGTTCAATTCGATTTTTCTACTCCGTCTCCCGATGACATTATACTCAAATATCTTAGAAGAAAATGAGTCTTAGGGTGAGATTTATATTGTTTAATTATTATAAGTAATTGAAAGGGCATAAAAAAACTTTATTATGGCTCATTTTCTAATTATTTTTAATTTATTAGAAATTTTTTTTTTTTTTTTAAATGTTTTTAGATTACCGGGTTAATATTTTATTCAGTTTTTATATTTATGATTTCTGTTCGAAAATAATAATAATAAAAATTTTATTTCTTTTTATTTTTAAGTGTCAGATAAAAATGTATAAATAATATTATTGGGGTGTCTTTTTTTCCCCCCCCCCCCCCCCGTTCGGTTTTTTATTTTTTTGTTGAACTATTTTATAAAATAATCATGGTTTTTTTTTAAAAGCATTTTTTATTGATTTTAAAGGAAAATTATTTCAAATATCATAATATTTTAATTAAAATAAATTGACTCAAGTTTTGCACCATTTAAAATCTTTAATAAGCTAAGAATTATTTATGTCATGTAACTAATAATCGCTATTATTATTATTTGTTTGTTTTTTTTTTTTTTTATTTTGTCAGTCGTCCAATATGATTGCTTAATGATTTATCTACGATTAAGCTAATAATAATAATAATAAAATTAATAAATTAAAATATATAAAAACTCGAGCTTATTGCTTTTGCATTGATTACTTTTGATTGATTGCTTTCGGGCCATCCATTGTAAATTTTTTTTTATCGATATATTTTTTTTATTTTATTGTATTAAAATTACTCGTCCGACTCCGAAATGAATTACAATATTGGCAAACAGGTTTCAAAATTGCTGCTAACCAAAAACCACCATTGACGAAAAATGAAGAAGTTAAAAATTCTGAACCGGAAGTGCCTTTAATTACAATTGTCTCATCTGGAACTCAAACAAAAGGTTTTGAAATAACGGATATAATAAAACCAAACTTGAACTACAATTGTTTAAAAAGTCAAAGTCCCGCAAGCGGAAGAGCTTCACCGAATGATCCAGAAGAATTAAATAAAGTTGGAGTCACGGAAAAAGTCATTTCATCCAAGTAAGTTTTTTTTTTTTTTTTTCAATTTTATTCTTTTACCCTTTGCGTAATGTAATTACATTGTACATTTTTTGACAGGTCAAACGTGTCTAATCGGGAAAATAAAAATGTCGATGTTGAACTCCAGTTTAAAAAAGAAAGAGGAGATTCTAAAGAAGTACTTCATATGGTGGTGATTGGCCACGTTGATGCCGGTAAAAGCACTTTAATGGGACACCTTTTATATGCTCTCGGTCAAGTTAATAAGAAAACGTTGCACAAATATGAACAAGAGAGTAGAAAAATAGGAAAACAATCTTTTGTATATGCTTGGATTTTGGATGAAACCGGAGAGGAAAGGTAAACACAATAATACAAAAGGAATCTTGTATTTTTTTTTGTTTATCTGACAAATTAATAATAATTGTAGATCAAGAGGAATAACGATGGATGTTGGACAGTCAAAATTCGAAACAAAGACAAAAATTGTCAATCTTTTAGATGCTCCAGGTCACAAAGATTTTATACCTAATATGATCACAGGTGCTACACAAGCTGATGTTGCAGTTTTAGTTGTAGATGCTACTCGGGGAGAATTTGAAACGGGATTTGAAAGTGGTGGTCAGACAAGAGAGCATGCTTTACTTGTTAGATCTTTAGGTAAAATAATTTTTAATTTAAAAGAATCATAAATTCAAATGTGTTATTTTCAAAATTAAATGTTGTGCACATGCAGGGGTTTCTCAGCTTGCGGTAGTAGTTAATAAATTGGACACCGTTGATTGGAATGAAGACAGATTTAAAGAGATTTCTTCAAAATTAGGAGTTTTTTTAAAACAAGCTGGTTACAGAGACTGCGATGTTACTTACGTACCGTGCAGTGGGTTGGCAGGTGAAAACCTAGTTGAAAAATCAAAGCAAGAATTACTTTCTAAATGGTACAAAGGCCCTAGTTTATATGAAGTTATAGGTATTTTATTTTTTGGATGTCAAACCATTTGTTGACTT